TGTATGAATGCATAACATTTACCCGTGTATGCTTGTATGCATATGCAATGGGCAATATGAGTTATCCAACACTACTCACTTCCAACAGTTTCCATGAATTCCCAATTCAAGCTTTTATTTGCTATTGGTTATTGAATTCCCAATTCAAGCTTTTATTTGCTATTGGTTATTGAATAGTTCCCCCCCTCCCCCCCCCCCCTCCCCTATAGAGAATTTTATAAAAGGCAACTTTAAACAATAATTTCTAAGCATTGAACCTTTAATGTTGAGTTTCTAATTTACCCTAATTAGCAGATTTATTCGAACTACTTTAATTATTTAATTTATTTTAACCATTATAACTTGTTACATTTATTTTGTTTTTATTTGAATTATTCTACTAAAAATCCGATAGCATCTCCCCTGTAATCTAAACATCTTGCCTATTTTATAATCGCATATAATCAACATAAACACAACCCATCCATTGGGCAAAATCACTCAATCTAAGCCCATCCTCCAACATTTCAAAATCAACAATCGCCTTTATCATTTGTTAATTATAGTTACATCACAATTATGCACATTCAATTATATATGTATGTATACTTGCGCATTTACACTTATACATTAGTAAATTGTCATTAAGGTTCAACTAGATAACATGGCAATCCTATCATCTAATATGGCTAGATTGAACTAAATTAAATTAGAGTTTGGCTAGATTAACTTAATAAATCTATTAAGGTGAATTGTATTCGCATTCCATAATCCTATAAGTGCTTTTAAATTAATAATTTCTTGATTAAGTTCGATAAGCTAACTCTATATAGCTTCCTATGTTACCTAGAAAATAACTTTAAATTTTAAGAATTTCTGTCTTTCTACTTAACAAGCTTGTAAACAATATTTTTAAATAAAAATCTCTAATTAACTTACTAAGTTCTAATTCTTCACTAACTTGAATTAAACAACTCTAATTGAATGTTTACAAGAAAATGCAGTGTAGGGATTTAGGACTTACCGATAAAAAATCAAATTGAAGACTCGTTAGCACCGCGAAGAGACGAAAATTATGTCCCTTGGTCCTCGCCGCAGAGTCGTAGGCCGGTCACTAGACCGTCGCCACCAGCAACTGTGCAGTGCACTGGACTGCCGTGCACGGTGGTTGGAAAATTGGGCCTCACCAGAACCGAGTGATTTTTACATTCCCTAGCTCGAAATTTCATGGGAACCTAATTCTGATGTCAATATGTGGAGCCACTGCTTCAATTTTCCGGAATAGCTCTAATAGCCACTATACCACCGCCATTCATGGTGGTTCCGCCATCCAAGCTTCATCGCCAGAATTGATGGAGGAAAATCATTCATGAGGTGATGGCGAGTCGATCGAAAAGCCTCTTTAAAGTTTTTCTATGCTAGTAACGGTGGAAATCGTCGGAATATACATTGTTACAATATCGCACTCCTTATTCGTGGTTCCTCTCAGTCCGGCCTTTATTGCGCGAATAGTGGGCACCGGTGTGTTCGTCTCATTGAGCTCTAGAGTTTAGAGCCTTCACTCGCTGGAAACAATGACCATTTGGCCGAAAAACAGGAAGGAAAAGGAGAGGGGACTATCAACGATGATGAGGAAGGAGGGGAAAATTTTTTTGATTTTCTCTCTCCTGTTTGATTTTTATACTATTGGTTTGGTCGGATTAGGTCGGATTCTATAGAAAATTCTAAATTCTTAACCTATTTCATCTGGTTTGATTTATTTTCTAAAGGTTTAGTTAGGTTCTACAATATTTCCTCAATTTACTAAATAATAATGATATTTGATTTTAGGATAATTAATTTAAATAGTAGAGACACTAATATATATTTATAATGGATTAATATTTAGAGCTCCATATTTATTCTTAAAAATTTTCAAATCTTCTTGACTCGAAAATTCCGATAATATGTTTTGGGCTTAAACCCAACTCTACAAACTTAGGTTCGGATTAAAATTATACAGTATTTACAACTCAGACCGCCAAAAATTCAAAGTTTTGATCTAATTGAAATTTAAAAGTTTCGAAAATAAAATTACAAGGTGTTTCACCTGCAAACAATCTATTTTTCATGAGTGTCTGGGATAGTCCATAAACTGCCTGCTGTTATCGATTATGGTGTTGGAGAATCTCGAGTTAAAAGGCAAAAGAACTGGGTCTAGGTTTCATGAATTCTTGGGTCTCTACGGGCATTGAATGAAGATGTAAGACTTATCGTTGAGGATAAGTCCATCCTTTTCCTATTCTAACTCTTTTAGAATCTATATTAGGGAATAGGGGGAATAATGAGATTTTCGATAGCTCCCTTAATGAAATTTGAATATCCTAAAATAAACTTATTTATGATATAATTTTGAATATAAAATTACATTTTATTAGTTGATTGGATATAAGTTATTGAAATTGCTTTTTAAATAAATACATATAGATAATTAAATATTTCAAAATTTTAAAATTTTTTTTAAATAAATTACATATAGATAATTAAATATTCAAAAAGTTTTAAAAATTTTTATATTTTTAAATTTATTTTTTAATAAATATATATATGATATGAGGGCATTCGAAATTTTTAATATTTTTATTTTTTTCAAATGATTTTTTAACAACAATATTTGATTTATCTTTATTATAAATTATTAAAATATTTTATTTTAAAAGAGATTAAAAAAGAAAAAAAATTATATTTTTTCTATATTTGTATAATTTTGATTGGATATTTATTTTTTTTGAAACAAATAAATTTCCAAAAAATTTCAAATAGAATGTACATAATTAAGCCTTTCATAATTTTTATATTTTTATTTTCTAAAATTTATTTTTAAATAAAATGAACATATGTATGATGCCAACTAATGATACATTTAAAAATTTTTATACTTTCTACTTCCTATTTTGTTTGTTTGTTATTCTTTTTTTAGATGTCTCAAAATGTTTGCAAGGTTTTTAAATTAGATATTTATATAATTATTTTTCTTATAATAACCTTTATGATTATTCATTAAATAAAAAATTTTTATTAATATCTTAATGAGATAAGGGAAAAAAGGGCAAAATAATTTTTCTTGATTAAATTCTTAATATACGTGTTTTGTTAAACCATACAAACAAAATGGGACGGAGGAAGTATTATTTTTTTAAATTTATTTTTGATTATTTGATTTTTTGTAATTTAAAATATTCTATTTAGGAAAGAGATAAAAAAGTATACTTTTTATAATATTCTTTTTTCTTTATGTTTGTATAATATGATTGGATGTATTTTTTAAAAAAATAAATTTCAAATAGAATGTACATAATTAAGTTTTTTTAAATTTTTACTTTTTAAAATTTATAAGTTTTTTAAATTTTTTACTTTTTTTAAAAATTTTATTTTTAAATAAAAATGGAATATATGTGTCATTGAGAGGATAATCAACAGTTGCAAAATTTTAATTTTAAAAAATATATAATATTTTATATCTATATCTTATATTCTTATATATATTGAAAAACATATTTATTAGGTTGATATTACAGCAGAATTATACATATACAGTTAATTATTATATCTATATTTATATATATTGAAACATATTTATTAGGTGATATTACAGAATTATACATATACAGTTATAATAAATTTTTTATAAATGACGATATAAGTTGAACTGAAGTATATATATATACACTGCTGTTTTATTAATTAACCATTAAATTCACATTATTCTTATATGACATTTTGTTTTAACATTATAAAAATCTAAATAATATAAGACAAATTATAATCAATATTTAATATTAAAAAATAAATACGAGTATAAATAACAAATAAAAGTGAACAATGACATAAAAAATTGAATGAGCACGAATAACAAGTATAGTTAACGTGCGGCGCACGTTATAAAAATACTAGTTACAATAAATGTGTACAATTTATAAGGGTTAAAGTTGAAATTTCAACTTTAATAAAACCATGTGTCATATGATTATTCTCATTCAGTATTTCACGGCTGAATTAGCACCAAATCAGCGTGTTTTAGTTTGATGAGTGGACCCAAATCATCCTATTTAGAAATTTGATGGGCCATGTGGAAATGAGACATTTAATTGATCAATTTTTTGCAGTTTAAACCATTGTTTTGAAAACCGGATCGGACCGGCTAATTCGACCGGTTTAACTGAGAACCGGACTGTGGTCTAGTTCGAATTGCATTAAAAAAACAACTTATCATAAAACCGGAATGAACCGATGAAAATTAGCTGAAAAATTGACTAAATACCGGTGAACCGGATCGGTTAAAAATTGATTCGAATAGAAATCTGGATTTTTCCTATAAAATGTTGACCTTTTTTAAATTTGGGCCTCTTAAAAACTGAGACCACTAATTTTTTAGTTTTTGGTCTTTTTATTTCTAAATTCAAAGTCCTAATATATTAATTAAAATAATTAAATTGCTTAATGTTAAAGACACATGTGAAAAATAATAATATAATTTATTATAACTAATTAATTTTTTTAGTATTAAATTTACTCATATTTTATTTTTTGTTTAAAATTATTTATTAATTTCTTATTTTTTTTAAAAGCCAAATTTGAAACTAATTTTTATTTGATATCAAAGTTTTCTAACTTATATTTTTAATTTTATTTAATAAATATATTTAAAAATATTACATATAAAAATTCAGTTGAACCATATTGAATCCAGTCGAACCCTCCAATTCATTGAATCCCTATCTTTATCGGTTCATTAACCGATCCGGTTCTCAGGACACTGGTTTAAACATTTAATTGCAAAATTTTTCGTTTGGGCACCAAATTAGAAAATTTTTAAAATTGAGACACCAAATTTATAATTAATCCTTTTTTTAATCCAATACAAATTTTTTTTTTTTTTTAAAGTAGCATATCCAACCGCCAGATTTTTAACTTTTTACTTTTAAGTTAATTAGAGGTGACGGACACTTCTTACTGTTTTAAAACGTTAAAAAGCCTTTCAACGCCCTAGCTAGCGCAGCGACTATTTACCAACATTTGAAGCAAACCTGCATTGACGGCGCATGGCACCTACTCAACAGCAACAAGAAGATGATGAAGACGATATAGATCCAGTCAAGCTTCTTCTACCAGAGGATGATTTTGAATTAGATAATGGAAACAGATCCAATACGCTGCAACATGTAACAGCCAATCAACACCATTATATCGGTTCGATCGAGTCAACGATAGTGATCAGGCAACTCCCGTCCCAAGGCCTCTCCTTCCAGCTCTGGCCAGCAGCCACCACTCTCGTTACTCTCCTTGACCGTCACGGCTCCAATTCTGCCACTACCGAACTCTCTCCTATTATCGGATCCTTCTCATCTAATGGTCCACTCAATGTCATAGAGCTCGGCTCCGGCACTGGCCTTGTCGGGATTGCAGCGGCTGCAACACTTGGTGCTAATGTTACAGTCACCGACCTACCTCACGTGATTCCTAACCTTCAATTCAACGTGGACGCCAATGCTAATACGGTGGCGCTTCAAGGCGGAAGAGTCAATGTGGCCGCTCTGAGGTGGGGAGAAGACGGTGGCGGTGATGTGGAGATTATAGGGAGAGATTTTGATGTTGTATTAGCATCGGATGTGGTTTATCATGATCACCTATACGAGCCTTTGCTTCATACGCTGCGTTTGCTAATGGGCGCAGGCGAGGAAAAGAAAAAGAAAATGGTGTTTGTTATGGCTCATTTGAGGAGGTGGAAAAAGGAGTCTGTCTTCTTCAAAAGAGCAAAGAAATGGTTTGATGTTGAGACCATTTACGTGGACAATCCATCCCAAGGGTCCAGAATTGGAGTTGTGGTTTACAAATTTGCTAACAAGGGTCAAAGTTTTCATGCTGGGTAACGCAATAGAACGTGACCAGATTGTTTTTAAGAAGTGGGAAGGAAAAATTGAATGGTTGTTTCTACTTTCATGTTTTGCATTTGTTTTGTGAAATTGTAGGGTTGATGGCTTCGCACGTCGGTTTCGAATTGATTAGGGTCGAAAAAACACAGAATTATAACCCGTTTAAATGGGTGACAGTGATATATAAATTTAATTTTAATTCCATATGACGCTCATTTCATCCCATTTTATTTACATGATATTAAAATTTTAATTAATAAAAATTATTTTACCTTTTTTTACTTTTAATTCATTCAAGAGATCAATAGAAGTTCCTCATTTCACAAAGGATCATAAAGGTTACAAAAAAAAAAATAAATCTTACAAACATTTTAAACATTAAAATAATATGCAATTATATTTTTATCCTTAAATAAGTAATGTTACTGGGCTATGACCAATTTGGATGCCCTAAGAAATTCCGTGTCAAAAAAGGAGGCGGTTTATAGCAACTATAATTCCATCACCATCGCTAAAGAAAATATTTCACTAACATACAACAAAAAATCAAACTGTTGTATCAGACTGGGACACTGAAAACACCCTCATTATATAAACAGTAGAAGCAAAATGAATCCCACAACTCAATGGAATGCATTGCGATCTACATGCATCACTACTATCTACAAACCAGTAAAACATCATTCTCTGCCAAAAATGAAACCACCGATCCTATTACGAAAACATTTGGGAATACAGACAAGTGTCGTAATCACAGTAAGCTGCGTGCAAAGAAAAACTTGACCTTCTCAATCAAAAGTAGGTGGGAGAACAGTTGACTACTGAATCATCTTTTTCTTAGAGGTGAGCCTTTAGCCACAGCTTTCATACTCTGAGAGTCCCTAAAGCAAACAAAGTGAACAAGCGATTTCCCATTGGGATAAACTGCGAAAACACTCGTTCCAATTTTCTTGTTGCAAAGAGAGCACATACTATCACTGCTTATCTTCACTACTGCTTTCCTTTGGTTGTAAAGTTCATCTTTCACCTGTTTCACATAATCATTTGTTTAGACAAGCAGAAGTTTAGATCATTAAGGAAGAAATGTTACTGTACAGATTTGATAAAAGCTACAAGCTTGCATTATAAAACAGTATTGGACTGAATACCAAAGTGATAAAATAAAATAAAAAAAAAACACCATTAAAATATGTAAAGGAAAAAAAAGAATAGAATACATAGGTAGGTGAACAATGAAAAATCAAGAGCATTTTAATGATCTACTATGTAAATTTATTCGATTTGATTTGATTTTAGATAATGCACCTATTGCATTCAACATTCTCATTAAGTTAGCTTAAGGGAAGCATAGCGCAAGTAGTAACACGCAAACTAGCACACCAACATAATACTCCTTTCGTCCTAAAAAGATAGTCTATCTTTCCTTTTTGGTTTGTCTCAAAATATAATCCATTTTCCTTTTTTGCATTATAGTTAATCCTTAAATTGTCTACTATACCCTTATTAAATTTTATCTTATTTTCAATAGCTCTCATTAATTCTTACTTATTATTCTCAATAGCTCTCATTAATTCTTACTTATTATTCCAATATAATAATTGTTAAAGTGTTATTTAAGATGAACATAATAGAAAAATTATATGAAAAGAATTGTCCTTTAACCATAATAATTGCTATTTCTTAATTTATGTAAAAATAGAAAGTGGACTATCTTTTTGGGACGGAGAGATTATAACAGTATCTACCATGAAAGTGGTATATCAAATACACCTTTGGATATGTAGAGTGAGTTTACAAATTGTTCAACATATCTGTTGCAATTTTGCTCATTATTCTTAGGGCTCTAAACAGACTCTGAACTTAACAAATGGTGCGTGAAGGAGCTATAGTACTTGTTTGCAAGCTCAATAAACAATTTTTTGTGTTTCTTTGTTAAGATAAAAGAACAAGTGTCAAAACAAACATTAAGCTCATTTATATACAAGTAAACAAAAACATAGATGAGCTCAACTTGATTTTGTTTATCAGCAGGCTTGTTCTTGTTCTTTAGACCCCTATGGCCTTCATGTGGGTTATGCTATAAGAGAGCCCTAGGATCAATGTAGTCTTCTGCTTGTCCAGGCTCAAGCAGAGATCAAGCTGGCTTCAAGACTCCAAGCAAAACTTAGCTAGGTTCCTATTTACAACCCTAATTATGTTCTTTTGGGTGTAGAAGTGGATACGACAACGCTGAAGCATAATCTCCAAATAAAATTGGCATTTACAATACAAGATTAAGAAGATACTGATAAAATGGCACCTTCCAAGGTAGTTAAAAGTGACAGGTGCAATCAAAGTGACGTGCCCTGTTACCACCTAAGGTACAATCCACACCAAAATCACTAGCCTTGATGAAAGCACATGCCCACACACATACACATATACAAAATAGGAATAAGAATAAGAAGAAGAATAAGAAACAAGGGAACATGGAACAAATTGCTAGCAACTTCAATGGTTAAAAACATAAAGAAACAATTGAATAGGATTGTAAGCATAGAGAATAATGGTGCAAGAAACTCACTTTGATTAGATGTACTACTGTTACTACTGTAAAAATAAAAAATTAATAACCCTAGGTTAAGAGAAAACAATGTGTTTGGAAAGTCTACCTCTGGAAAAAGTTAACTAAAAGTACAATTTTGTAATTGAGAAGATACCCTAATTTTAAGTGGAATAGATTAATTGTTAATTTGTTATGTAAATAAAAGATTTGATGGCCTATTCTCAAGGAGGCGCAAGTCTCAAACACCTATAGCCTCATGTGAGGCACTCGCTTAAATGCAATAAGCGATGACCTGGTTGAATGTGTCTAGACTATAAATGATCCGAGCCAAGCTCTAGCAAACTCGAGCGCGGCTCAATGAGGATATACTCGAGCTCGGAAGTCTGAGCTTGAACTCAGCTTGTTTAAAAACAGCCAAGCTCGAGCTCGAGCTCGAGCTCAAGCTCAAAATCTATCAAACAAAAACATGTCATTTTGATGTAGGTTTAATTAATCTTGGCTTATTGAGCTAGCTTGCAAGCTCGAATCAGCTCGATAAAGTTAGCTCACAAGCCGGCTCGTGAGGGCAGCTCGATAAAGCTGGTTTGCACAAATGAATTGGGCTCCAGCTCAGCTTATTTATTAAACAAGCTCAATGAGCTTATTAGACAAGCTCGAGCAATCTTTTATACAGCCAAGCCTTGAGCGACTCACAAGCAGCTCGGTTTTTCTACAGCCCTAACATGCCCTGCCTTGTAGCTTAAAAAGTCCCATGGTACTTTCTTGTCATGCCTTAGCACATAGGTGTACTCCCCGTGCACTTTTGACTGTGCTACCTTCCTAAGTAAATACTAACTCTATTCCATAATACTTGTCACATTTAGAATTTCACGTCCCTTAAGAAAATCATTAAATTTGTCTAAGTTACAATAAATTATTGAATAAATTGCTATATTACCCTTAATTTAATACTAGTTATCTAAGAAAACTATTAAATTGAAGTAATAATTATTGATTATATATAAAGGGTAAACATGGAAAAAAAGTATTTATTACTCCTTGAAACCACGAATGTGACAAGTATTTTGGAACAAACTATTTTCTTAAATCTGACAAGTATTAGGGAATGGAGGTGGTAATAAGATATGATGTTTTGTACTAATGCATTCCCTGGTTGAACTTATTTATACATTAGAAAGTAGGTACCTGCAGGTTCTCACTCTGCCTCAGGCTCTTGATAACTGAGAGATTCCGGTATGCTTCACTGGATTTCCTCATAAGTGGTCCAAGAAAAGGAATCAAATTCTACAGAGGAAAAAAAAAAAAAAAAAGGGAGGTGGGTGGGGGGTTAAGTAAGATGAGTAGTGTTGTGGTGTGACTAGAGTGGAGTTGCGCGCGGGGTGTAGACTGTAGTTGTATAGGGCGTAGTTAGATATAGGGTAGTTGGTGTGGGAGTATCGTGCGGAGGGTTCGTGGGAGTCGGCGCTTCGATGTTCGGTGTTTTAGTAGATCGATATGTTGGGGAGGGAGTGCCCGGGGTGTATGCGGTGGGTGTTAATTCGTGATGTGGTTGCTGCTCGATATGAGTGGGGTCGCAAGTAAGAAGGAGATGGTGCGGAATGGTCGTTAGCATGAAGAGGAAAAAAAAAAAAAAAACATACCATCAGAGTGGAGTTTTAGTTAATTTCTGATGCGCAGCAAAGCAAATTTCCAGAAATGAATAATAGATTTCATAACATAAATATATAAACACAGAAGCTTGTTAATCTACAAGAAGAAATAAAATGCAGAAATTAAAAAAAAAAAAATCTGACTTTAAATATCAAAAAGTTGGTGGTCTAGCTGGGGTAAGGGCACAAAATCATGATATAACACCTACACCAAGCCTCAAAGATGACTCATGCAATGCATTAATATAGATGATAAAATATACGAGAATAGAGCATAATTGATCTTTCCAATCAATCAGCGTCTCGCTGCATGCTAAATACCTGCAATTTTGTTTCTTTTGGTAAAAGTCTGAGGGCCTGAGCTCCATTGATTCTGTCCCACCTTCTGCTTAAAAGGTCAAGGACCTCATCGAGCATAATCATAGAACCTCCTTCCTCACTAAATTCATCTGTATCACCATCACTCCTGTCAGTGCCACTATGACTAAAACGCACATCCTCTGCACCCTCTATTGCAGCAATTTTCTTCGCCCCACGGCCTCCTTTAGCTTTAACTGAAGTTCCAGAACTAACTCTAGGAATACTTGTACTCTGAGAGGACACTATATTCGTAATTCGCTTTTCAAAGTTCTTGATTGTCTTCTGAGGATTCAGATAAATTTGCAGAAGAGTGAGGTAAATATTGCCAGAAGATTTAATAGATGGTTGATGAGCTGCAGACTCATAAACCCGGTCACAATAGGACAATGACAATTCAGGAACATGAAGCTGCATGAAGATAAACTTTTTTAACTCACACAGAGTAACAAAGAAATGAACAAATATAATCAAGATAAGACTAATTGCAAAAGAGAAGATATCTAGTGACAGATAAACTAAACAAACAGTTAAATTAAGCTTGATTAAAGAACTTAAGGCATTGTAAGTCCATCTTGCAATTTGTGATGATAAGGACATCCTAAGTTTCCCATATAAACAGGCCTTTAGCCTCGCATGATTCTCTCTTGTGATTGCTATCTCTCATTAAATCATCTTACTTAGCAGATTCATTTATACCAGAAAATACCTTGTGAACATAAAGAGATAATGCAAGCTCATGTTGGTTCATTTTCCCCAATAAGATTGCTCGCTCTTCATATAATGCATCCGCTGGAAGCCGTTTTAATAAAGCCTCAGGATTGTACCCCGAGATACTTTCTAAAGCAGACAATAATTTCTTCCTTGTTGGGGAATAAGCCTTTTCATCCCATTTCTGTTGAGCACTCAGGTCTGAGTACCAATCAAGTACTTCTGAGAGATAGATTTGTACCTGTAGCACAGAATAAATTAGTAAAAAATCATCAATTGCACAAATTAGCAGCACTACAATTGTATCTTGGGTCTTCCAGCACAATCTATTTCACCAGATCTCTTAGAATAAATAACAAAAATGGTAATGACAGTACTAGAGCAAGATTTTTCACCATTTCATTCTGCAGGTTTCCAGAGATCCCATTTTCATTCATTGCAAGCATGAGTTCTAGATATCTTCCCTGCATATTTGGAGCATGCTGCTTCAGATAAGAATTGACCAAGTCTGCAGGAATATTCCCAGAAAGAAAGAGCTCAATAGTTTGCGTTGGACAGCTTTCAAGAACAAGCATTGAGAACTCCAGGACAAGCATGGGGTCTGTCCCACAGAGAGGCTGCATAAGAAAATCCATAAAAAATGGTGGCTGTAAATCTAACCCATAAATCAAAATATAATCCATCTAAGCCAACAAGCCTTGAAGAGTCGTTGCAAAACCATAAATAAAAATTATTACCATAGTAGGTGGTTAAAAGGAATAGAAAAAGGAAATAAAATAAATGCTTAGACACCAATTTAAGACTGGAAAAAATCTGACACTGCTTAAATTTTGACTAACAAAATCAAATGCAAATAACAATAGTCTCCATAGTGCTTACACTGTTAGATGTCAATATCAAAATAACAGCAAATCTTGCTACAAAGCCACCATCAATTTCTAATTCTAAAATGAAAATTCAATCCATGCTTCTAGATGAGTTGCATTTTCACTAATAATAAGTTGAAAACAATAAATAAAAGATGCCTGACAAATGAGAATACCTACCTTAAGATATTCAATAATAGATTCAGGCTTGAACTTTGAGGTAAGCTCAACTTGCAGTTGGCTTGATTCCGACTCTTCAACCAGTTGATGCAAAAGTTTCAGAGCTTCTCGATGCATAGAGTTGCACTTATAAAGTTCCAATAAAGCAGTATAATGATTCTGCTTCTGAAGAATCTCCTCACATATCTTTAGGTCACAGTAGTTGAGACCTTTAAGTAATTCTAAAGCTGCTGAAGACTGTCCGGTAAGAAGAAGAGCTTGTAGTAGTGCCGTATCCAGTATAGCTGCCATTTCCCGAGCACCTGAATTAATGGAAATGTTACCACGCCCCTGAGTGACCATGGACAGCAGAACTAATTAGGCAAAAGTCAATTAACTAATCACACCAGAGATATTTTGTTCTAAAACAGAGCTTCAACTAGTTAAATTTAGGGGTGCAAATGAGCCAAGTCGAGCATTATCAAGCTCGTGTAAAGCTCATTAGCCTAAACAAGCTTAGTTGAGCTTAAAGTTTGTATTATAAATTTAATAATGCATAAATTTATTCAAAATTAACAGATAAATATTCTGAAATAATACATAAATTTTTATGATAAATACGTAAATTATCATTATTATACTATTGAAAATTATTTTTTTGGCAAATAATTTTTAGAAAGCATATTTATGCATAATGTAGGTAAATGCTATGTATGCTTGCAGAAGTACACAGAAAGGCAAAGAAAGCTCAAAAGCATTTATTTTCTCATTTTCTATGAAGTTTAAAGTCTAAACAATGTGTTTTGTCAAAACAAAGATGATTACAGAAAGCCTTGATTAAAGAAGTTCTTGTGAGTCCATGTCACAAACTTCCTACTATACACAGAATATATAGAACCAAAATCACCTGAAAACATGGGAAAAGGGGAAAAAAAAAAAAAGAGGAAGAAGAAGAAGAAAAAGAAGAAGAGTTTCTCTACCTTGCTGGATTTCTTAAACCTGCTAGAGTCATAAGGTCCAAAATTATCTCCCACAGCATCTAAAACAACTTCTTCTGTTCCCTCGGCAGTAGCCTTCTCAATTATACTGCATCTCTTTTTCTGCAAGAACTTAACAAGAGCCATAAGAGTATTATGGCTCATTTTTTTTGATTCAAGGGAAAAATGCTCATCAAAATCAGTTAACTGCGGTGGAAGTGAGGATTCCATATCATCTGACACTCCGGATGAAGCTCTTGAGAGATATGGGGCATCTGAAGAAATATCCATTAACTTTTCAGGTTCAAGAAGAATGGATGTTTTGGGTAAAACAATAGATGGATACAAAGAAAGCACATAGGTCATATCCACTTGGGACGCTAAAAAGTGTTCCATAGCCTCTTCATAGCTCCCATTATCAAAAAGATAGTGAGCATATCTGCAAAAAACAGACAAATTATATTGAATGCAAATGTATCATGAACAAATGTAAATGTGAAGTGCCAAAACAAAGGGTAGGCGTAATGAAACACGCATATTTAACAAAGATTTCATACACCACATTAGACAACTAAGTTATATTGCTCTGAACTTGCTAGAGTTAATGGTCACTGTTTAACACTCATGATCAAACATATAGTGCCGAATTAAATAGTCAATAACTCAGACGTGATCCTCAGGGAAGCATGTTGTTTCCTGCTGCCCCAAAATTTCAAATATCTTCAGAATCCCAAAACCCCCACTATTAAGATCGAAGGAGTAGGAACCCATATCAAGTAAATGTCAGGCAACTAAGTTCATAGACTAATAACATATTCATGATATAAGGAGTGATTATATGCAATATACTTCTATTAACTATCCTTCTGTGCTTACGTGCAAAATGAAAACCTTCCACAGAGAAAAAAATAAATTTAAAAATAGATGAGAATCATTTTTTAAAATAAAAAGGTTTAAAAGTCTTACCTTAAATGAATTGATCCCTCCTTTGCTGCTCGAAGGTTTGAGTCTTCAGGTGGAAGAAGCTTGCACAAGGATAAAGCTTCCTCAAAATTTCCTGATGCTGTTAACTGTACAATCTGCAGTACAACAGCAGCCCTAATCTTATTTTCCAAACTACAATATCGTTATCCTCTTCTAAATCCAGAATATGAAGGTTACAGTTAAAAGCCTAACTGTGTTACAGGGAAGGTCATAGCACCATGGCAAATAGACTATTCTAAGAAAATGTAATCTAATTTTGTGATTATTAGAAATCCAATTTAATACCCGTTCATCCACTTTAAGAAGAAGTTCTTGCACCTAAACTGCAAGCTCTAGCAGACATGATAAATATCAATTTTATAGAAAGCAAAAGCATTACCTGTGCACCAAGAGGAACAGGGAACAACCCATATACAGAATTGTCTAATGCAACAATTACTGCATTATTACTTTGAATAAGATGTCGAACATTTTGAAGAGCAATGGTTTGTATCAATGGATATGGAACTCGGAGAGAGCGAATCTGCAAAATCATTGAATTAAAATATCGATAATGCACAAATGCATAGTTTCTAATAGGCAAAGATCATGAAATTAAAAATGAAATCTTGTATACCAAATGATTAAGCTACCTCAACACGTCTTGGAAGCAGACCTATTGCATATGGCTTCTGAATGACAATGACAGAAGGAGCCTCTGACCAACAAATCCTCTCTGCTTGAAGAAGTTTGCCATTTTGGTCCACAAACACCCCAATGTTCTCCTAAGACAGCAGCAAAAACACATTTTTTTCTTGTTGCATGTCTTTTTAGATAATAGCATAAAATAATTAAATGACAAAAATTCGAGCAGACAACATGTGCAGTAGTTACATATTGAGTAAATTATTAAAACATGTAAATTTAGTAACTATCAAGCAAATATTTTCCATTCCATTCATTAATACAGTGATATAGAAAGAACAAAATTAGAGGCCTTCCATTTTAAGAGACTATATTATTAAAAGAATACTGAAAGTGCTTATTGCAATAGCCTTTTTTAGGACACTAGAATGTGCAGAACTTGGCCGTTCTGGAACTCATAAAATTGAACACCAAAATTTCAAATTGGCATTGCCACGAGACAGCCCTCCCAAGCAGGCACAGTCTATCAATAACCATACCGAGTATTCAAAGAAATAGACATATCCTAAATAACACAAAGAAGGCCATCTTCGAACCTAGATAGATCCTTAAAGATAGTGTATAAAAAAAAAAGATACAAGAAATTGAGAAGGTGAATTCAAAAACTAGCTCTATAAATCTAATATGTTTCTTTGTTATCCAAAATTACATGGTTTGCAACAAATGAATTCAATAAAATATTCCACGAAGACATGGATACTTGTAACTTTACACCAATCATGTCTGGAACATAGTTTTATGGAATCCAATATCTGAAACTCCTATATTTGGAGCTCAGTAATGAATATATTATATTTCAACTATTCTAATTTTGTAAAATTCACCATAATTGGAGAATTCCTATCAAAATTAATGCAATGTAATGATTGGATAAGTGGTGCTTTCTCTCCTCATTAAAGCTGCTCCCCCACCCCCCACGCCTCATTAAAGCTGCTCCCCCACCCCCCACGCCCCCCCCCCCCCCCCCCCCCCCCCCAAAAAACGCCCCCCCCCCAAAAACCGCCCCCAATTCCATATATAATATGAATTATTAAAATCCTAGATCTCAGCATTTGTAATGTATCAAACAGAAAAATGCCTTTACAACTGAATTTATTTAGAGATAAAATGAATTACTCAATCCCAAACATAGAGTAACATTCTAAAAAGTACTTGCTAGTTGATATGTATGTGAGCTTTAAACACATTAACCACCAGATGCATAAACCACAGAGGAGGATATTAACTCAAAGAAATGAAATAGTTATACTTTATCAGCAAAAGTATTTGATCAGAATTGTACATAATATACAAATACAAAAACAAAAAGTACAAAAATGCATTAAACAGTTAATTAATAAAGACATGGGATACAAAAACTAAAAAATATCAACAACGGAGTACCTTTCCAAGAAGAAGCTCTCCAGAAGGTAGAGAGACCACTAAAGGAGGGGCTAGTCTCCCAGAGGAAAATACCTCAGTCAATGCACCATTAATAGCATTCAATATCATGTATTCCTTTCTAATCCCTAAACATATATTTTCACCACACCAAGATATGGACTTCACAGTATCTGGAACACCAAAGTCCTTTACCTCCACAAATCCTCGTCCCCCTAAACAAAGACTAGAATTTTAGTTCACAGCTCGATACCAGGCATTGCAAGAATTTCAAAAACCATTATGGAAAATTAAAATGCATACCAATAAGAAAGCTTCGAGATAATAAGGAGATTGAATACACATAAATAACCAAGAACTGAATTCAGAGAATTACCATCGTGCCTGAAGATACTGACTCGCTTTTGCCTAGCAAAGCACAAAAACCCTCTTCTGTCATCCCATGAATAGACATTGGCGCCTTTTGCCTTAGTAATCACAGCTAACGTCTCCAAATGGGGAAGTCTATGAAATGCAATTGATTCAGAGAGCGATAAAAGCAACTCTCTTGATGCCAATACCTCCATTGATAATAAAGCCCTTTTTGAAAACCCATTCACAGTTCTCTCCAAAGCATAAGTTTCCTTCTTCAGCTCTTGAGCTTGTCCGTGATAATCTGACAGCGAAGATCGATCCGGACCATATATTCGAAGAGCCCCATCGGAGCAGCCAACGAGAAGCTTTGACCCGTACGATTCAACTGCATCAATTCTTGTCGGACACCCTCTTAGAAGCTCGAAGGAATCATACGCACTGTGCACCATTATTGCTATTTCAATTTCGACCTCAAATGCCTCCTCCTTCTACGATAATTTTCGATTTGATCTTCATTTTCTAAAGGGCGACTCTGGTTCCTGGGACGCAAATGATCACAGTTTCCGAGTGTATTGTGACTGTATCAAATCAATCAATTATCGTCAGAGTTTGAAGAAGAATTAAAATCCGAACATTCATAAAGCTAAAGGCCCCGCCATGTTAACCCCATCCTTGTAAGTACCATTTTGTTTCGGATGATTCATCAAAATTATTATAGTCACTATGTTTGAGATGGAGACCTGGAGAGGAAAGAGAGTAAGTGACAGAAAATAAGCAATAATTATACCATTTATTTTCTTTCCTTAGTTTTTCACCTTATATATTTAAATTGAAAAAAATATATATTATTTGAAAAAAAAATAAAGTTATTACAAATTTATATTTTTATACTTTTTTTTTATTTTTCACCTTATATTTGAAAATATTATTTAGAAAAAAAATAAAGTTAATAGAAATTTATATTTTTATCCTTTATAATATTTTTTACCTTATATTTGAAAATATTATTTAGAAAAAAATAAAATTAATACGAATTTATATTTTTATCATTTATATACGTATGGAATATAGATTAATTGTTACATAATTTGTTTAATTATACTCTTTCTGTCCCATGTATATAAACCTAGTTTGACTTCTACATAGATTGAGAAAAACTATTCAATCCTAAATATCCCTTTATAATATTAAATGATGATATCAATTGAAAATATGAATATACGTTAAATAGAGGTATATTAAAAAGTTAAATAATAAATTATATTTTAAAAAAGAAAGTAGGACTGCATTTTAGAACAGATAAAAAAGAAAAGTGAACATATATATATAGGAACGGAAGAAGTATTTAATTAATGAAAATTTAGAGAATTATTCGATGAGAATAATTATTTAAATAAAAGAAAATAAAGTCAGTGCCATGTAAAAAAACATAGATATTTTTGTCATTTTCCAAACTTTCCTTCATTAACATAGATATTTTTGTCATTTTCCAAACTTTCCTTCATTATCCATTATTTTCTCTCCAATTTAAAGATTATAACTTTGTGTGGGCACAAAGAGAATTTATTTGTTATTTTGCTTCCTTCCATATTTGCCTTGACATTTCCATGCAAGGGTAATCACTTTTGCTACATATTTTCCATCTCAATTTTTCTTCCATCTCAACTTTGCTTCCTTCCAAAAAATACCTCTATCCAAACAAGCTGTAAGGAAAATACAAGACTACCCTTCAAAATATAAATTAGTCAATTAAAGAAGCAATATCTCAAAAAATGAAATTAAAAAAGGAAAGAAAAAAGCATTGAACCCCAAGGTTTTCAAATGCAGCTCGGTCATTCGACTGGTGAACGAAGAGGATCAACTAGGGTCAAACTGATATTTAAATTTTTTTTTTTTCAAAAGGATATTTAATTAAATTTTATATAAATAATTTAAAACTAAACATTTTCATTAAAAATCATTTTTATAAATTAAAATAAATTGATAATTGATTGATACCTCTATTAAAATAAAAAAATTACATTTGTTCAACTTCACTGTAATAATAGTTTAGCACAAAATGGGAATGGGATCTACTAATTCTACTTTAATGGCAATATTTGATCTTTTCATAAAAATTAAGTAAATGATTGAAATTCATCGATTTTTTTAAAAAAATGATACAATGTCTACATTGTGATTCTTAAATGTAAATATAAAATAATTACACCTAATAAATATGGATAAAATTGAAAAAAAAAATAATAATTAATATAATCTCAAAATCGTAAATGAGCACTTAAAATGAAATAAGAAAAAAATGTCTATTTATTGATGTTAACGTGGAATGTAGGGAGTATTATTTTTTAAAAAATAAATAGTAAAATGTTTTGAATAATAGTAATAATAATAATTTCTATGCTAATTATAATGTAAGATTTCACACATGCTAAATTTAATAAATATATTTTTTAACCTTTTAAAATAAAAGAGAGAGTATTGAATGGAATTATTTTTATAGATAAGCGATGTTTTGTAGAATATAGATCCGCAACACTCATGTAGAAACCTATAAAATAGAGAGAGAGAGCGAGAGAGAGAGAAAAAAAAAAGGAGAGCAAAAAGAGTACCTTAGGCTTCCAACCTTCCATGCTTAAGTTAGAAAAAGAATTATAAAGGATTGTGAAGGTAATTGAGAATTTTTTTTTTTTTTTTTTTTTTTTTTTTTTTTTTTTTTTTTTTTTTTTTTTTTTTGTTGTTCCTTTGACGTAAGACGTTGAGGTTCCTTTTATAGGTTGTCGTTTAAGAGTACTGGTAATCAATATTTGACTAGCATTTGATTTTCTATATAGTCTGTATTGACTGTGGAATAGAACTTGCATAATAACTCAAGCGGGTGCTAAGTTCCAATGACTATACGACATTTTTTTTAATACAGTTTGCTAACAGACGTCCTTGCATAAATATCGATTCTTCAGGTTTGATTGGGTTGATCTGTAGGCTTTTAGTTGCATCATGAGACGAAATGGCACTTCAATAGGAGTTGCAATATTTTTTTGAGCTGAACTAATTTTCTTTAAGTTCAGGCTATTTCTACAAACACTTGATTGCTTAAGCTACGATGAAGAGAAATTATTATGTGAAGCTCTTTTAAGCAAGCATCTGGACTTAGCACATAATGAATTGATATAAATGTTACTACCTTCGGTTGGATCAATGCTAGGATCTGGATGGGCTTAAGGCCCTCAAAGCTCATAATAAGCCTATAGCAATCTTAGGTAATATTAAATAATCATTTGGGCTTCATGCCTACATATCCATATCATCATCGTCGTTATATTCTGAAAACAGACCCTTAGGTCCACCATCACCTGTGGATCAAATAAAAATCTCAAACACGCATCATACGTCACTCATCACATCACATTCTTTGCCTCAAGCCATATCAACATTAATCCATAGTTCAATCATCACATTGGAGGAGGCTCATACATCCGTTACTAGGTCCCATCCGTAATATCAAACATCACTCAACATACTATGTCTGAGTTGTGATTACGGAACTCTAAGTATTTAGTACATAGAAGATAACTAACATTCAAAGTAGAAGTCACAGTAGAGGAAGGAGAGGCCAGACAGCTCCACTCATACATGAAAAATTAGGTGGCTGGAGCGAGCCCCAACTCAATGAATGAAATAAATCAATATGTACCTGGTGTCATATTGTTTTAAGGTTTCATAATGCTCAAACATATGCGAATCACAATTACTAGCAGTCATTCACAACATTGGATAATCCTAGTTAGCAAGAACCCCGATAATACCAATCTCATCGTTAGCCCCACGACCTGACAGGGACTCTAACTCCCGCCGCTTGCAAGCGAATAGCCAACCCCAGTGACCTATCCGTAGTCATTTTATTGTAAAGGTTCCACTTAGTCCCAAAACTACCAATCACTACACAATTCAAATCCAACAATATGCATTCTCTAACTATGTGCATACAAATTATGCAAGTAATGCTACATATAGTCCATAATGCAATAGTATAATATATTACAGGCAAATGATGCTAATGCGTGATCTCAGGTTCCCATTCAAATAAATCACTCATAGATAAAGGAGCAGCTCCTAGTCTTGGTGTGGGGAAGTCGTCCATGGTTATCTACCAGTGGTTCTGGACGATCCATTTACGAAATAAGAAGAGAAAGAAAATGTTTAAGTGGAAAACTTTTCTAAGTTTAACAAAATAAGATTTTATTTATTAACTTAACGATTCATTTATTAAGAATTATTATTTCTATTTTGACCCTCACCTAAAAATAGTACGGTCTATCTGTTTATTCATCAATTTGACATGGCTCCCTTCGGACAAATAATATCGATCTAATCCATCCGCCACAAGATTCCATTTATTCCAACATTAATACCATTCACATTATCAAAAAAAAAAAAAAAAAAAACAAGCATAGCCTATCAATTCCATCGTTTTACATTTTTCTCAATTTAAAAACTTAATATCATTCAAACATCAATTTGAGAACCTGAGCACAATTTTGGCAAATTTTCAAATCAAGCTAAGCAACAATTAAACATTTACTAACAGAGCAATATTCTACTAAGAAATTAATTAATTTAAGCTCTTCTAAGGCAGCTAAGCTTCCGGTCTCTTGATTTCTTTTACAAGTTTCGGCTTAAAAGCCATTTTCTAAATTTTGCATCAATTATTACACCGAGGTCAATTGGCATTGGATTACGACACAAATTACATTTTTAGAATCTTTGCGGAAAGAGTATTTTGCCTCTCGGTCTCGCCGGGGTTTCGCAGCACGGTGGTCGGAAAAGTTAACTTAACCTAAAATTTGCAAGCCATATATTGTTTATTTTAAGGTTTAGGTCATAGATATGGGCTCAGTTTAATGTGAATGTGCGCCGATTAACCGGAAATCGACCGGCCATTTTTGGGATTTTCCGATTTAGTCCATGAAAAGGGACATCGAAGCTACTAAAAGATAGAAGGCAGAAGACTAGAAGCCTGAAGTCGCCGGCAACTATGCGAATCGCCGGAAAAAGAATTCACAGAGTGCCCAAGAGTTCCAGTCGCGCTTTCTCTTGATTCAGGCTCCTATTTCAAAAATCGAGGCGACGGATGAGTTCCTCTCGTCGAGCTCTTGAGGTGTGAGTGTTTAATCGTCGAAACCGGTGGCAGGAGGTCGAAAAATGAAGAGAAGAAATGGGGAGGGGCAGTCGCCGATCAGGGAGAAAGAAAGGAGAAGGAGAAAGTGTTTTTCTCTCTCCTCTTTGATCGGCAATAGAGGGTTTGGTCCGATTTGGTGTCCGGGTCGTTTCAACTTAGATTTTTAAACAGATTTTCTTGGTTTTGAGTGGTTCGAGTCTGATTTGAATGGTTTGCATTGGGTTGTGCCTCACCCTTCCTCAGTTTGTCAATTTACAATCATTTTGATATTTCCTAAATTCCCAATTTAAATTTTAAATCATAAATCTCTTTGAAAAGTTAAAATTGGGTCATTTCATTAAACCAGCTAAGACACTTAGGGCCAGTTTGGAGTAATTTTTTGTATTTAGTTTTTTATTTTTTAGAAACAGTAAACAGTTTTTTTGTTTTTTATTTTACACCAGCATATGAACATAGTGATGAATCTAGAATATGTTACACCAGTAGCATCATGAATAATCTAAGCATGAAGCTTTGAAGGATGATCTGAAAGCACATGAACCCCTTAAATTGAGAGAAAAAGCTGAATTTACTAGCCAATATGTACAA